CGATGTAACGGACGGATTCGGGGGAGAGGATGTAACGGACTGATTTGGGTGAGAGGAGTCTGTTAAAGCCAAAAGTCCATTATATAATAAGTAGGTTTTCCAGATACATAAGTCAAAAAATGGACAAATTAGTTTACCTGTTGTTACTCATGTAGACACGTTTGTGTAATTAAAATTAAGTATGAAAAGTTTAATTTCATAGAAAAGTTTTCTATATGCATCACTGTAATTTTAAGTGAATACTAAATAGGTGTAGTAAATGCATGCATTCACCAGACACTGCGAGTAAACACATGCACACACCGGGGTGTGGGTCAGCGCACGTGGGAAAGGGTGGTGTGTAGAAACTGCTGCGGAAAGTTACACCGCGCCTCTCAGGCTGTGGTGTGATCACGTGCTGATCATTTGCCAAACATTTTTATTTACAACAGGTGACTCTTGGATTTAAGTACGAGACTATAGTTGTAGATATGTAATATTTATTTATGTCAGCAAAATTACTTAAGCGTTTTTTTTCCAGCATATGGCCTATTTGCTAAAATTTGTTAAAAACAGGACTGCATTAATAACAAAAAAATAGCCTTTTAATTTCATGATAAGCAAATCTTGGCTTAAAAGATTTTTATTTTATTATTATTTTAAAAATAGGTTGTTATTGCCCTGGCCAGTGTGGCTCAGCGGTTAGAGCGTTGGCCTGCGGTCCGGTGAGACCCGGGTTCGGTTCCCACTAAGGGCACGTACTTCGGTTGCAGTTTGTCCCTGGCCCTGGTTGGTCGTGCGGGTGGCAGCCACTCAATATGTCCCTTCACGTCGATGTTTCTCTCTCTCTCTCCCTTCCTCTCTGTCCCTCCCACTCTATCTGTACAAAAAAAAAAAAAAAAGGAAAAATATCCTCGGGTGAGGATAAAAAATAAATAAAAATAAAAAATAAAAATAGGTTGTTATTGATTTTTTTAGAGAGAGAGGAAGGGAGAGAGGAATAGAAACATCAATGTGAGGGAGATGCATGGATCCGCTGCTTCCTGCATGGCCCCCACTGGGGATAAAGCCCACAACCCGGGCATGTGCCCTGACCGGAATTGAACTGGAACATCTCAGTCCTTGGGCTGATGCTCAACCCACTGAGACACACCTGCCAGGCAGTTAAAAACATTTACAAATTAAAAGGATATTAATTTTGACATGTGACATATAGACTGGAAATTTTGTCCGTTGAATTCGAGGTCCGCCAAATCGAGGGTTTGCTGTCTAGAACTTGCACAGTCACCTCCAACCACTGAAACAAAAGATTTAGTTGGTTCTGGCTATCAGAACTTGATGTTGTACCTCCTAAGTAAAAGGTCAAAACAGGAATAGATACTGTTAAGCAGGAGCTAGAGTCATAATGTAGGAAGTGAACAGAATCAAAAGCATGGGCAAAGGTGACACATTATTTTGTCTGACCTAAGATGTTTTTTTCTTTTTTTGGTAAATGGCAGCGTTAGTTTACGTATCACTTAGAAAGAAAAACATTATATTATACTGCTTTCTTATCACCCAAATATTTTATTTCATATTTATAGAAAGAGCTTTTATAGACTTAATTAGATAATAAATTTTGTCATATACAAGTCAATAACATGCCCTCTGCCGGGTCCTCATGCCTGCATTTTTGATGTGTGCAAGCAACATCCAGCATGTCACCGCTGTGGCCTGACTGATAGCAATGATAGGAAGCCATGTAGTACAGTGCAAATTTAGAGATGTACAATGTGGAAAAGGTGTATCTCAGAAGCAATAAAACAAGGTTCAGGGACTTGGGCTAGAGTTAGGTGTTACTATGTAAGGTCAAACAAGAATAGTAATCAGAATAAACTACATGTGATCCTGCAATACATTCATCTGGGAACATGGGTAGCAAAAGAGCAGACACAAAATTAGCTGATTTAAATTGGTAGTCAGGTGAATTAGAGCTCAGTGCTGGAGGCACAAAATAAAGAATGTGTGACCATTATGTCATGTTGAAGCAAAATCTATATTATAACTCTGTCTGACAATGAACAGATCTTGAGTGAACAAAAGGATGCTTATTTGCTATCCTAAATTTGTCTTTATTACAACACACTGTCATATATATATATATACATATATATATATTATTTGATTTGACCCTTGCAACATCTCATGTGCTAAAGGAAGGAGCCCCATTCAGAGAGGAGGAAGCTGAGCCTCCACAGCGAGGCACTTTATCTTAGAATCACATATCTGGCGAGTATCAGATTCCAACTCTGGCTTTCTGACTCTAAAGCCCAATGCTTGGCTTTACCACAGGAAAGACTGCATCATCTGTTATTGCTGGATATGATAACCAGTCTGTGATTTGATTCTGCGAGTCCAGATGAGCCAAAGCTGTACATTTGAGTAAGCAGAGGTATTCTCAGATTCATTCTTCGTTGTTGGGTTTTAATGTAATCAGGGTCAAATGCCATGTTCCAGAGGGAGTGGTCTAAACAATCACAATGTTTATAATATGCCAGCGGCTCACATAGGCAGCTCAATGTGCTGCTTCCTGCACATTGAGCCCGCAACCTGGACATGTGCCCTGACCGGGAATCGAACTGGGACCTTTCAGCCCACAGGCTGATGCTCAATTCACTGAGCCACACCATCCGGGCCCATCTGCGTTTCTGTTTCCTTATACCATTAGATTCTAGAAACCCTCTTGGAATCTTTGTACTAGAGGAGGCTGCATGTATTTGCAGTAAGCATGAGAGCTCACCAGAATAAAATATGAGCATAACAAAATTGAAAACACTTCAAAACAAAAATTGAGTCACATCTCCTGAAAACCTGTGCCAAGAATTCTAAAAATTGTATGTATGTACATCCAAGACACATTGTTGAAACACACAAGTATGTCTGCGTTATTTAACAAAAAGTGATGAACGCTTCCCTTTAATGTCCCTAACTGCAGACATTGGCACTGCTTCACGTTTTTGTTCAGATATCCACTGCTACCACGGCCACCTCTTGTGAAATTGGGAGCCATCTCCCATGGCTGTCTGGGTTCCATTTTTATCAAGTTCAATGGCCCTTAACTCCATCAACCAGTAAACATTCTTTTGTGTTTATAAGTCTCAGAAATGCAGAAACAAAAAATTTGGACTCCTCTTCCACACACATATAGCTCCCTTGCATAAAAGGATACTATAACTGATATTACAGCTATGCCAATGATCTCTCGCTAAACTTTCTGTCCAGTTAAATAAAAACTGGATGCTAATTGCTAAGAACAAGTAGAAGAATATGTTGAAAAACAAACTGAAAGAGAAGAAAATATGCTACACATACACTCTCTTGTTAACTTACTTTTTAACACTTTAAACTACTAGAGAAAACCGGCTTCCCTTATACCTTGAATTATCCAGAGCTCCAAGTATGGCTTTACATGGGCTACTGCTTTGACTAGCACTTTCTTCCTGCTCTCCCCCTCCTCTCTTTCACCTGGAATACCTTCCGAAAGCATCCCCTAAGGACAGACAATGTCTAGTCAGCTAGGCTTCCCATGCTCTGGAAGCACTCTCTCCACACTTCTTTCATAATAGTTTTTATGCCCATAGCTTTCTACCTAGCTCCAAGTACAGATCATAGCTCTCTTCCTCATTTGCAATAACTTTCTCATTGAATTCGGATGATGTATTCTACTGTCTTCCCAGATCCCTTAGAATAGAAATCCAAGCCTGTGGCCCTGATATCCCGGATGTCCCTGGGCCAGCTTCCTCACCTCTTTCAGGTGTTTATTCAATCATCACTATCCCCCACCCCCACCTCTGTCTTGCTTTATGTTTCTCTGTATCTTTTATTGCTATCTCTCATACCATGCCTTAATTATTTATTATTGTCTATCTTCCTCATCAAGAATGGAAACTCCCTGATGACAAAGGTATTTGTCTGTTTTGTTCGCAGGTGTACGCTCAGTACCAGGAATAAGGTCTGGACACAGTAGCCACTCAATAACTAATGTTTTAATGAATGAAACCGCAGTCTGTCTCACCACCCTCTGAGTTTCTTAAAGACAAAAATGTGGTTTTGTTTGGGAAATTCTAGCATTTTCCTGTCACATAATATATATTCAATAAGAATTGGTCTCATGGATTCCCCCTGGGGGAGACAGGCCAATTCTAAGAGAGTTACAATAGATAGATAAAGAAATGGAGAATTTAACAAACTTTTTGGTTCGTACATCATTTCCTTGCTTCATCTTAAGTAAGGACTTTGGCCTGCCCACTGAGAGACCAGACATGGGGGTGGAGGAAACAGCAGAAGTATACGGTGTGCAGACGTTTTTTGGCACTTGTGAGTCATTTATACAGGGGTAACAAGTAGTTTACAGTTGTAATATAAACAAATAATAAGCTTAAGGCAAATAGATAATAAAAAATTCATAAATAATAATACAAGAGTAAACTTTCACGTACTCACAACTGTAAACCTCCATTGTCCGCCCCTAACAGGGTGAAGAACTGAGAAGACTTGGCCTGCATTTGGAGGAAGGGAAGTTGTGAATCTGGAAGGGTGGCATTATCACAGTTTGAGGCTGGGAGTGTTTGGAGCCTTAATGACAGATGAAGGGCTCAGCAGTGAGTGCCACAGCGCATCAAAGGGTTGCTAATGGGTGGGGAGAGAGAGGGGAGGGGAGAAATGGGGAAAAAAGTTCTTTATCACATGTATTTGAAACATCTCAATCAATGTAGGCAACAAAGTTTTGACATCCTCTGTTGGCGCTGACCACCAGTGACTTCCCCGGGGGAAAGGATCGGTTTACTACCGAGTTTTCAGAATTATTAGCGCCGGTGGGGACACCACGTGGTTTCCTTTGGGGAGGCAGTGAATGGCCGGCCGTGGGCTGGGCGGGAGGGTAGGCGTTCGCTGTGCATCGGCCACCGGAGGAGGGGCCAGAGGGTGGCGCGCGGTCCACAATTTTCCCGGTCGCCAGGGCCACTCGGGCCTAAACAGAGGCGGCGGGCATGGCAGAGGCGCGACCGGGGCCGCCGGCGGGGCTGCAGCTGAGCGCGCTGCCGGACCACTCGCCGCTGCTGCAGCCGAGCTTGGCGGAGCTGCGGCGCCGGGCGCGGGCGGTCGACGCTCCCTCAGGACCCCTGCAGCTCACCGACTCCTTCCTCCTGCGCTTCCTGCGCGCCCGGGACTTTGACCTGGACCTGGCCTGGCAGGTAAGGGGGCCTCCCCGCTGCGCCCCACTCCGAGGGCAGGGTTGGGTCCCCGGGAGTGAGCTGCCCTGACCCCGGCGAAAACCGAATCGCTAGCAGGACCTCGGTGGGAACGCGCCCCTGGCGCACGGGACAGCGGGCGCCGTGGCTGCGGGTGTTCTGAGAAATCCAGCTCCGGTCCTCCAGTTTCTCTGGGTCTTGGAAAGTTAGGCAAAGCTGGAGCCCTCCGGAGTGATGACCCTTTTGACCCCAAACACTGGAACTCTGTCCTTGATGAGTCTCGGAAAAGCCTTTCCTCTTCCCTGGCAGAAAGCTGGTGATATAAAACAAAACAGCTGAGAGGTAGGAAGCCTAGATTTTATCACATTTTAGCAGGTAACTCCACGTGTGGAGGGGAGAATGAAATTGCCAGTAAGACAGAGGGTCTAAAGCCAAATTCTAGCGAAATCGTATTATTAATAGTAATTTTTAAGTGTCAAGGCTGTAAAGCAGTCCAGTGTGTTTTGAGTAGAGGAATGAGGGATGAGGCTGTGTGTGTTACCAGGTGTGTCACAGCTGGGCGAGAGAAGGGGTGTTGGGAAGGCAGGAATCAGGAAGAGGGATGCGACCTTCAGGGCTCAGCATCTTCATCATTTAAATATTGGTGAGAATGCCTACCTCATTGACTCCTTTCCAGACTGACCATTAACTAGTTTAACAGAACCAGACGTGCCCAGTACAGAGCTTGGTACAGAGTAAGCACTCAGCAGTTGAACCTGATCTAGTCCCCGCTCCAGGTGGCTTGCTCAGTGTCATGCAGAGGCGATTTGAAAGGCAGGGGAAGTATAATAGCACAGGATCCCAACGTGTCTCACTATGAGGGTTTTTGGTTGTTGATAACTAATTTTTAATAGAAAAAGTCAAGACTACTGGTGGTAAAAAAATAATACATAAGTAGTAAAGAGTACAAAGTAAGTTTCTAAAAAGTAACTTCCTAAAGGAAAAAAGTTTCCAATCTCAATCCTTAGTTTGCCAAGCGGTCCACCCAGAGGCAGTTACTCTTACCTGTGTCTTGTTTCTCTTTCCAGATAGTCTACCTTCACACAAGCAGATGTATGTATTTTAGATTTTGCCTTTTTATTTTTTTTTCTTATTTATTTTTAGAGAGAGAGGAAGGGAGAGGGAGAGACAGAAACATCAGTGAAAGAGAACATAGATTGGCTGCCTCCTTCATGCCCCCTACTGGAGGTTTGGCCCACAACCTGGGCATATGCCCTGACAGGGAATTGAACTGGTGACCTCTTGGTGCATGGGTCGATGCTCAACCACTGAACCACACCAACCGGGTGCATTTTGCCTTTTGAAAACCTAATTTCCATAGAGATCATTGTATTTCAGCATGTATACATACATCTTATTCTTTTGTGGACCTTGTGCAACTCATTGTGTAAATACACTATGCTGACATTTATTGAGCAGTCCCTGTTGTTGGACTTGTCATCAAACAAGGGCACTGCTGCTGTGCACACTCCTCATTCCTCATTCAGTGGTTATGTTTTGAGCTCCTACATGTGCCTGGCAGTGTACAAAGTGCAGTAAACAAGACAAAACGGGTGTCTTCCATTACCAACTATATATTCTAGTCTGTCTTTGTGCAAAAACAGGACTATATCTTTATAGAACAAGTTCAACCTGCAGAATTGCTGAATGAAGTAAGATGTACTTTCAGTGTTGAGGATTATAACAGCTGTTCTCCAAATTAGGGCACTAATTTGGTCAATTCTGCATTGCATAATGATACCTTTTCTGCATATTATCACCCATGCTGTATTAGTCAATATTATGATCTGTGGGTCATCCTGCTAGGTGAGAAACTGGTTCTCATTCTTATAATATGCATGTACTTAATTACAAGTGAGGTTAATCATCTTTCACATATTTAACATTTTAAAATTATATTCTTGGTAACTGCTTGTTTTGCCATTTGTTTATTTTCTTCCAGTTTATTTATATAAAATATTATATACATACAACATACATTTTTTATTCATAAAATATCTTTATAGAGTTCTAGTTTGCTGTCCTAGTTTGATGTTTGTCTTATGATATTGGTAATGCTATTTTCTTTCTATGCAGAATTTTAAGTTTTTATGTAACAATTGTATTGATATGATTGTTCTCTGATTGCTTCTGGGTTAAACAAAGCTTTTTTTTTTCTTTATTGATTTTAGAGAGAGAGGAAGGGAGAAGTAGGGAGAGATGGAAACATAGATGAGAGAGAACATTGATTGGCTGCCTCTTGTGCCCCCCACTGGGGGTTTGGACCACAGCCTGGGCATGTGCCCTGACTGGGAATTGGACCAGCGACCTCTTGGTCAATGCTCAACCACTGAGCCACACCGGCTGGACTGCTTCTGGGTTTTATAAGCTCTTCTCCTTTCCAAAATTTTCTCTAGTAATTTATGACTTTCCTTTTTAATGTTTATATGTTTATGAACATATATATGCAATGAACACATATATATGTTGTAGAGGTAACTAACCATAAAAAATATATGATTTATTGATTTTATTTTGTTTGCTTTTTAAAAGACACAGACAATAGGAGGGTAGTTACCAGAGGGGAAGGAATTTTGGGGGTAAATCAAAGAGACTAAAGGTCAAATATACCATGGCAGGGAGACTAGACTTTGGATGGTGAGCACATAATGCAATATACAGGTGATATACAATTACATAATTGTATACTTGAAACTTGTATCATGTTATTAGCCAATGTCACCCCAATAAATTTTATAAATGTAAAATAAAAAAAACAAAAGCAACAAAATGGAAGAAATAAAAGTTACCTCCAGCCTTTGTGTTATATATTTTTTTCCTGTATTCTCTGTGTATCTGAATTGTTTCATTGCAATATGTCCTTGAGGAATTTGCTACCAAGACTGTGTCTAAATCTACTGAACAGGGATCAAGTTTCTGTCTGTGAACTCTTTGCCTTACTTTTCTGCCAACTGGAAATGAAAGGGAAAGATTTAGAGCATAAAAGTATTTATTTCCTTTACAAAGACAGTTAATTAAACTCAAACTTTCTTATTTATAATATAAACACCCTATAGTTTTATTGAATAAAGAAAATTCAATAAGTCCCTTGATTGCAATGAAATTTCTCATTTTTCTAGTTTTTGTATTTGAAGTGATAATGAGTTAATGAGGTTTTTAATGAGGTTATGAGGTTTTTAGAATCTTAATGGCTTTCAGAATGCCTGTTCCTTTGTAAGTAGTGTTTGCGAGGATTATCTCATTATTATCTCATGTTAGAAGAAGCTGAGATGTCAAGTTACATAACTTGTCAGAAGTCACAGTTATTAAGTGGTAGAAGAAGAATTTGAAGTTAGGTTAAACCTGTGGGAGTCTGTGTTCTCAAGTACACTACACTTGTCCTGTTTGCAGTGAGCATAAAAACAGCCAACTCTTAACCTCTGTCTGTTCTACATATTATTGTGAATTTCTGTCTTTGACAATAAATGGTCCAGTTCCTTATATTTTTGCTCCATGTGATTTTTTTTTATCCTCACCTGAGGACATTTTTGCATTTATCTTTAGATAGAGAAGGAGGGAGAGAGGGAGGAAGAAAGAGAGAAACATCCATGTGAGAGAGCCACATCGACTGGCTGCACCCACACCACCCCAAATGGGGCCGGGGTGAACTGCAACTGAGGTATGTGCCCTTAGTGGTAACTGAACCCAGGATTCTCTGTTCTGTGGGCCGACGCTCTAACTGCTGAGCCAAACCAACCAGGGCCATGTGATGTTTTTTTTAATTTTTATTGTTGAAAGTATTGCAGATGTTTCCCCTTTCTTCCCTTATTAACCCCCTTCTCCCCACTCCCACCCCCCACCCCCACCTTCCTCACACTATTGTCTGTGTCCATTTCCACGGGATATGTTTTTTATCCTTTAAAAAGCTTCCAGATACTTGGAAGCTTTCAAAGTACCATTGACTGTCCCTGTTAATTTCCCACTAAATGTAGCCTCTTTTGTAAAATTTACTTATAGTGTCAGTTTCAGCCTCCATTCTAGTCCTGTGGCTATTGTCCTTAAACAAATGTGTAACTTCTCTGACCTTTAGTCTTTTTTTAAAAAAATAAGTTTTCTTTATTGATTTTTAGAGAGAGAGAGGAAGGGAGAGGGAGAAATAGAAACATCTATGAGAGAGAACATTTATTGACTGCCTTCTGCATGCCCCCCACTGGGGATCGGGCCCACAACCTGAGCATGTGCCCTGACCCGGAATCGAACCAGCGACCTGGGTTGACACTCAAACACTAAGCCACACCGGCTGGGGCTTTAGTCTTTTTTATTGATTGATTGATTGATTTTTTTATTTTTTGGGGGGGAGAAAGAGAGAAAGGAGAGAAGAGAAGATAAACATCAATTGGTTGCTTCCTGTACACTCCCTGATCAGGGATCAAACTCGAAACCTAGGTTTGTGCCTTGACTGGGAATCGAAACTGCAGCCTTCTTAGTGTAGGGAACGATGCTCCAACTAACTGAGCCACCCGGCCAGGGCTGAGCTTTAGTCTTTTTATGCATAAAAGGGGGGTAAAGCTCTCAGGTCGGATGTGATGAAGTATTAAAAAAAATGATGCCATTAAAGGCTGTTGAAAGCTGCACAAATATGGTCATTATTTTGTTGAAAGTACATGAAAATGTAAGAAGGAAGTTACTGTATTATAAAGCATAGTGAAAATAAATGATAACTTTTAATATTTATTTGTTTCTAATTGTGGTTCAAATAATGATATTTACTTACACCCAGTTTTTTTGTTGTTGTAAAGTTTAGGTGGTTTGTTTGAGAATTGCTCAGTAGCATTTTGTGATTTACATAACTTATTTATGTCAGTTGGACCTTTGAATTCATTTATCAGTGGAAAAGTAATAAAGATCCAGCTTTAAATATTTCAGTTTACAAAATTTAAATGTCAGAAGCATGAGAGTTAATAGTGTGTCTTTAGAAAAATAATTTTTTCAAATGTGTGGATCTAGCTGGTTTACTCATGCAATACATTAGTTCCCCCTATGCTCGGGGTATACTTTCAAAGACCCCAGTGGATGCCTGAAACCAGATCGTACCAAACCCTAGTTATAGTACATCTGTCCCCTACACATACATACATACCTATGATAATGTTTAATTAATAAGTTAAGCACAGTAAGAGATTAATAATAAATTAGAACAATTATGACAATATACAGTACTGTAATTAAAGTTATGTGTATGGTTTTTGGGCCATTAATGAATAAAATGAAGGTTACTTGAACTCAAATCCCTGCCTTTCTTATCTAAAAGACCCCTTCCAGTGAAGTCACAATTTTGATCATTTTATAGGAAAATAAAATTGTTATTTCTATATAGGCGCTAATATGCTTCTTCTGGTATTTTGCTTAAATCAGAATTAAAAGGACTATTTTTTGCCTGCGGGAACTATGAAAAATGTAATGAGCATTGTAAAAAATGTTTGTAGCACTTATTCTGATGCCCACTTAGACGGGAGGGGGAAGAGGAATTCATCTTATAGACTTGGATGAGTATATCGGAATCTACAATGTGACTTGTTCTTACTCCTTTCGGAAACTGCTGTTTAGGTCACCAATTACTTCCTGGTTGGCAAATTTACTGAGTTTTCCCCTTTCTTACCTCTCTGTTGCATTTAACTCTAAGAAACATCCTCTTTATTAAAAACAGTTAAGAAAAATTTATTAAATGTAGAAATGGAAGAGAAAGACAGAAAGAGAAAAATACAGGGAGACAATATGAGAGAGTGAGAGAGAACATCACAGATGGTCCTTTTCTCCCGTCCGTGACTCTGGTGGTGCTTGGATTTTTACATTTATATTTGTAGTTTCTCCTCCAGATTATTACAATTTTGCAGTTACAGTTTATGATTATTCCATTGACTCTCAAATATAAAATGTGTCTTTTCATCTGAACTTTAGTTTTATATCTCTTCACATTCAAATATATTGCCATTTAAAAAAAAATTGAGAATGCTAAAATCATAAAGGAAATTAAAAATAGTAAGTTTTAAATATGTAATTTGGTTTTTGTATTCTCCACAATACACCGGCAGTGTTTATATTATTTGTAAATATAGACTAACCATTACTGGTGGTTCTTTTGGTAAAAAGAGAAATTGAGATTCCGTCAAACCATATTTTGTCAAGACCTAATATCTAGGCATACCATACCTCTCTGAGTGCATACACTATTAACAAAATCTATTTTTGTTGTTTTTCTATTAGTAGAAAGTATAGCAGTGGTATAGAGATGTTCCTTTGTGTCTTTGATTTAGTTCTTTTTGTGGGAAAGAAAATAAAACCCAAAAAATTCTAGTTATCTTTAATGTAAACCTGCATTAAATTCTTGGATGAGCCAATTAACCCAAATGACTTTTCCTATTGTGACAGTACTAACCACCACTCTTTATGCCCATGTATGCTTTTGCACACCACCCTGGAAGGCAGATACTGAGAAAATAAGACTCGACAGGGTTAAATAGTCACTCAAGATCACATCGGTAACAAGTGGCAGCATCAAGGCTTTTCTGAAGAGGCAGCCTGGGAACTGAGCTTTTCATACATAGCATGGCCTGCATGTCCTTTGGTCACCCATACATACCTCCAGTGAGATCGGGGGTTTATTCTGGTTGCTGCTTTCACTCAAGTGTCTAACACAGTTTGTAGAACATTGTACATATTCCAAACGTGTTTGTAGAGTTAATCCACTAGATTGATTTCTGTTCCTTATTTCAAAAAGACTGAAGGTGGATGTTCCAATTATCTGTTGCCAAATAACAATCCACCCCCAAATTTAGTGGCATAAACCACAGCTATTATTTGATTGTGATTCTCCAGGTTGGGCAGGCCGAGTAGGTCTGTTCATCTCTGCCCCACATTGCATCAGATGGGACTTTGGCTGAGGTCACACCATCTAAATAAGACAGTGTCTCGTCCTCCTGGGCCTCTCTGCATGGACTTTTCATTTTGTAATCTTACATGGTGTCTGGATCCCAAAAAGCAAAAACAGAAGGTCCCAGCTTCTGAAAAACCGAGCATAGTGTTACTTCTGCCATATTCTATTAGTCAAAGCAAGACGTAAGGCCAGCCTAGGTACAAGGGGAAGGAGTCAAATGGATTCCACTTCTTCATGGCAGGTGTGCACGGGGGTGTGGGGTGAGGGGTTGGCAGCTCTCTTTGGAGACTTTCCATCACAGAAGACAAATAAAAATTACTCAACTTTGAATTTGTGATCAATTCCTATCACCTGGAATCTTTGATGAAGAAAACTTTTAGCTAATCAGAAACAGCCGAGCCCAGCCTTTCTAAGGGGGGTGGGGTTAGCTGCTGGGGGTTCTCATGGTTTGTGTGTGACCAGGCAATAAATGACGAGATATGTGTCACCTGCCTTTCAATGAGAGACCATGTCCATCTGGTAATGCCTACTCCTGAGTTTTGTGTTCAAACTACATTTCGAATGGGTATTTTCATGTAAGTTTCCAATAAAGTGGACTTGATTTAGGGAAAAAAAAGAAAGAAAACTTTTAGGCCCTGGCTGGTTTGGCTCAGCGGTTAGAGTGTTGGACCAGTGAGTCACGGGTTTGATTCCGGTCATGGGCACGTACCTCAGTTGCAATTCATCCCTGGCCCTGGTTGGGGTCGTGCGGGAGGCAGCCATTCAATTTCACATTGAAGTTTCTCTCTTTTCCTCTCTCTCCCTCCCACTCTATCTGAACAAAAATGAAAAAAAGTCCTCAGGTGAGGATAAAAAAGACAACTTTTAGTTTATGTGCTAAAAGGATACCCTAGATTAAAATCCTGACATGATGGATGGCCAGGGCCATACGTAATGCCAAGGTTTTCCTGCCATTTTTATGAAATGCTTACCATGTATGCTCTCTGTGGATTATTTCTATTTTGTTTTTCAGCTACTAAAGAACTATTACAAGTGGAGAGCAGAATGTCCAGAAATAAGTGCAGATCTGCACCCAAGAAGCGTTCTGGGCCTTCTGAGGGCTGGCTACCTTGGGATTCTCAGAGGCCGAGACCGCACCGGCAGCCGAGTTCTCATTTACAGAATTGGTACGCCAGACGGCACTGCTGCTTGCTTTGTCTTAGAAGGCTTCAGTGAGTCTGTATTGAGCATTTAGGTGTTTAGATTTTAACTTAGGTTTATTTTATATTTTAATGTCCCACGAGTATAATAAAATTGGTGGTTGCGAGAAAATCAACAAAAACCAATGAAAATCTCACTTCCATGTTTCCACACAGTCAACTGTATAAAATAAGAGAAAAATTAAACAGAAGAGAATTAGGGGGAAAGGTGAAAAAGGTCAAGGGAAAGTGTTGTAAAAATACTCAGTAGGAAATACAAGTCGGAGTTCTGACTACAGTCACACATGGAGGCGGTCTGTCCTGTCCCTGATGTACACCAGCCACCGAACCTGGGCACACTGCAGCGGTTTACTACATATTTTGGAGTGAGTGAGGACGAGCTGGACAGCGCCCGGCTGCGAGGGAGGGGCTCGTTCCCGGGCAGGAGAAAGGCGGTGGGGAAAGAAGGCCCAAGAGGTGCTGAAGACACTGTACTCCACATGCCCTCCTGCTTTCCATCACTTCCCTTTTCACCATAGTTCTTCCTAGTATTTCTTGTAGGTTGGTGACCAGTAACTTCGGCCCCTTCCTTAGACCTGCATGAGATCAAAAACGGCCTTTAAGGGAGAAGGACACATACCACCTACAGCATGCTTTCATGGCCCAACGTTTTATGTTTGTTTTTATTATTGATTTTAGAGAGAGAGGAAGGCAGAGGGAGAGAGAAAGAAATATCCATCAGTTGCTTCCTCTACGTGCCCTGACCGGGGATGGAACCCATAACATTAGTATGTGCCCTGACCAGGAATCAAACCCACGATCTTTTTTAAAAAAATTTTTTTTCTCTATTGATTTTTAGAGAGGGAGAGAGAGATAGAAACATCGATGAGAGAGAACATTGATTGGCTGCCTCCTGCATGCCCCCTACTGGGGATCAGGCTCACAACCTGGGCATGTGCCCTGATCAGGAATTGAACTGGCAGTCTCTGGGTGCATGGGTCGATGCTCAACCACTGAGCCACACTGCTGGGCAAACCCATGATCTTTAGGTGCATGGGACAATGCTCCAACCAACTGAACCACACTGCCAGGGCATGGCCCAACATTTTATGAGCAGAATCTTATGAATTATGGTCTTGCAAAAACGTACACATCTTTAAATATTTTAGGAGACTTTAAAATATGTATAGATTGGCTTTTCCTGCCTGTTTGTATATACGATGATGGCCTGTAGTGAAACTGCTTGCTTTCTTGCAAGAAGGCCTGCATTTAATTCTTGAAAGGGCATCAGAAAACTGAGTAAAATGATTCTATGTTTTTGCTCCAGCATATGTGTCAAATATAGCTGGGTTAGTCATGAACTCATTGTCTACGAACCAGACATCTATTTATAGGCAGGGATAGACATTTCTGTCTTATTGCTCCTGCAGTGTTAAGGGATGTTGAATGAAGTTCTTTGAGTTCCTTGGGGCAGGGTTGCCAGATTTAGCATAGTTCCTGTGTTTTATGTAGCAAGTAAACCTACATTTTATGAAAATATAGGGGTCCATTTATATTTGAATTTCAGATAAACAACAAGTAATTTTTGATATGCATGAGGCATACTTACTCTACAGTTTATCTGACATTCAGCCTTAGCTGACATTCAGCTATAACTGGATGCCTTATATTTTTACCTGGCAGCCCTGCACAGGGATTCCAGGAACTAAAACTGAAATCTATACATGATTCTTTCTGCACGTATCCTGGCTCTGCGCTGCCTGGCTGGAGTTTTTCTAGTTTGTTCATAAACTAATCGGAGCAAATTAAGTAGTATAAATGACAATTTAATCATAAAAAGACAAATATGCTACTTTGATCATAAAGACCTTAACTCTGAGTCAGGTCTCTTATTGTTTAGCGAGGGCCTTTGTAATATTTTCATGTATAAGTTTACTATTTAACTCCAAGAGATTTTAAAATCAAGAAAAACATGCAGGTTTACTGGTGGTCAGAACAGGGTATGTAGAACAATCTGTGTGTTATGTAGGATAACATGTTGTTCTAGGGTGAAAAGTAGAAACTCAGAAGAGTTTTATGAAGAAAATGAACATACAGATTTATAAATAAAATACAGATTTATAAATTTTATAAATTTAGTTGAATTAATGGGAGGAACTATGAAAGGAAATCTGCAGTAGAGCTTTTTAAAAATATATATATTTATTGTTGACAGTATTACAGATGTCCCCCATTTTTCTCCCTTTACCCCCTTCTACCATGCCCCTACCCGCCCCCCCAGGCCTTCACCACACTGTTGTCTGTGTCCAAGGGCTATGCATATAAGTATGCACATTCTTTGGCTTATCTTTTTGATAGACCATTAGCTTAACCACCTTCTTAGGTACCATCTCTGTGGAGTAAAAGCAGTGAAAAATGCAGTCTTTACCCCAGGCCGGTGTTGTTAGCCATTATTAGTGTACAATCCATTGGATATACAGTGACCCTGAAAAACAGGGTTGCACTACATGGGGACACTTATGCATGGGTTATTTTTCAATAAATACGTGCAATACTGTAAATGTGTTTTCTCTTCCTCATGATTTTCTTAGTAACATTGTGTTCCCTCTAGATTACTTTGTAAGAAAACAGTCTATAATACATATAACATACAAAATATGTGTTAATCTACTGCTTATGTTATTGGTAAGGCTTCGGTCAATAGTAGGCTACTAGTGAAGTTTCAGGGGAGTGAAAAGTTATACTCAAATTTTTGACTGCCTGGTGGTCAACACCCCTAACTGCTGTGTTGTTTGAGGGTCAGTTAAAATTCTAAGCCTTTTGAGACTCACTACTACACTAAAGCAGAAAAAGTAAAACTTAACTTTAAATGTAAAGTTTTGACGATGGCTTAATTCTTAGGAATACAGTTCTTCGGAATACATTGCCTGGTTGGAATCTTAGCTCTACTATGTTCTAGCAACACGGAGAGCTGTGTAGCTATAACTCCATTTTCTCATCTGTCAAATGAGCATAGTAAAAACTATCCCATAGGATTACGGTGACCATTAAATTTTGTAATGTATGTAAAACATAATTAGAACATTACTTGGTATATAATAGTCACTCAATAAATGTTAGATACATGTTGGAGAAGAAATAAAAAATTTAAGGCATGTTTTTCTTTTGCCTTAAAGGAGATTAAAGTCTAGACCAGAACTATGCAATATAATTTTCTGTGATGATAAAAGTGTTCTATAGTAGCCACTAGCCACATGTGGCTGTTGAGAACTTGAAATGTGGCTATTGCAACTTAGAAACTAAATTTTACATTTTATTTAATGTTAACTAATTTGAATTTAAATAGCTACATGTGACTAATGGCTACCGTATTGTACAGCACAGGTCTTAACATGCTGGTGGGCTCAACAACTTAGGTCTATAACTATTTTCTGAACTGTAGACTTTCAGTTATTCTGTTTATATTTTTCACCATGGTCGCTTTCAGCCAATGTTTGAAGTAGTATAGTATATTTGAGCTGGATTGATTACTTAAATTCTTACCACGAATCCAAGGCTTTTATTTTTTATTTTAAAAAAAATTTTTTTCCTTTATTGATTTTAGAGAGAGAGGAAGTGAGAGGGAAAGAGAGAGAGAAACATCGATGAGAGAGGACATCAATTAGCTGCTTCCCGCATGCTCCCCACTAGGGATCAGGACCACAACCTGGGCTTGTGTCCTGACCAGGAATTGAACCGGTGACCTCTTGGTGCATGGGTCAATGCTCAACCACAGAGCCATACCAAGTGGGCAGGAATCCAAGGCTTTTAAAACAAGGGGCAATTCCATTGTGCCTTCATAGTAATATTTCTGATTATCCCGGCTCTATTTCTTTATTTTTTTTCTATTTTTTATTTTTATTTATTTATTTATTTTTGTACGTGCCCCTAGCAGGAACCGAACCCGGGACTCTCTGGTCCACAGGCCGACATTCCAACCGCTGAGCCAAACCGGCCAGGGCCCTGCTTTATTTCTTTAAATTTTTCCTTGCTAGTAGACCCTACCCATGGATATTTAAATCTGTTAAGGATCAGCAGTCCAAAACAAAACAAAACAAAATGTTCTCCCTAGTCCCACAAGGCCCTCTAGCCTCCACTCCACCTCATACCACTCTGCTGAAATGACCTTAACAAATTGTCAGTGACCTCTTTTTCACCAAATCAAATGGGCATTAAATGGACACGCTATTTCACTTGACTTTTCAACACAACAACACAGCAAACCACTTCCTCTTTTAAAAATTTTTTTAAAGGATTTTTTGTTGACTTTTAATCCTCACCCGAGGACATTTTTTGATATTTTGTTCAGATAGAGTGGGAGAGAGAGAGAGAGAGAGAGAGAGAGAGAGAGAGAGAGAGAGAGAGAGAGAAACATCGACGTGAAAGGGACACATCGAGTGGTTGCCACCCACACGACCCAACCAGGGCCGGGGACAAACTGCAACTGAGGTACATGCCCTTAGCGGGGACCGAACCCGGGTCTCTCGAGACTGCAGGCCGATGCTCTAACCGCTGAGCCAAACCGGCCAGGGCTTTGTTGACTTTTAGAGAGAGAAGGAGGGAGAAAGAGAGAGAAACATCTATGTGAGAGCTGAACATGGATCGGCTGCCTCCTGTATGCCCCCTACTGGGGATCGAGTCAGCAACCCCGGCATGTGCCCTGACCAGAAATTAAACTGGCAGCCTTTCAGTGCATGGGATGATGCCCAACCAACAGAGCCACACCGACCAGGGTTTTTAAAAAAATTTTTTAACAAATATATTTTATATCAAGGGAAGTTTCATGTAAAGGACATTTTCTAATTTAGTAATTTAAAAAAGAGGGACAGAAATAAAGAAGGACAATTTATTAAAAAAAAGAAGAAACGTTTACACTCAGACATCAAAAGAATAACATTATAATTCCTGGAAAAAATTCAACAATGTCTGTAATTTGAAATAGTCTAGCACTTCTATATGAATTGCAAAATAGATATGTAATGCCATGCAAATGGGAATTTTCTGATTCTGATTTAAATGGACAATGGCTATTTTAAGACTATTTTACTGGAATCTTTCGTTTTGGGAATACAGTGTACTTATATGATATTAGAACAAATATGGTCAAGTTCTGTTGATTATAATCCCAAGGAGAGGAAAGGCTTTTCTGAGAAAAAGAAATTAATAATTATGAAATTAAAAAAAGAAATAAAAACATTACCAAACTACTGATAGTAATATTAAAACATCATAAAACTAAGTTTTGGATCCAGTTTGGAGTATATATACCTTTGTTTAAGAAATAATTATTATTCAGATTTGATTCAAATTTAAAAACACAAATTTTAATTTGTATTCTTCTTAAAATTATTGCAATCATAAACATTATGTAAAATATTTTAGAAGAATGACTACCATATATATACCGATAACACTACCATATATATACCGATAACCATATTTTCTAGATCATTCCTCAGCAAGCCCTCACTTTATATAATTTATGTTGGTTAAATGCCTGCTCTTTCTTGAGATGGACTCTTCTCATGCTCCTCTGATGCCACATTCTCCTGCTGTTTTCCTCCGATTTAACTGGCTGCTCCTTCTTAGTCTCCTTTGCTGGCCTCATCTATTCTACTCACCCTTTGAATTCTGAAATTCCTTAGGACATTGGCCCCAACCTCCTTTTCCCTGGCTACTTTACCTCTCTACCACAACAAAGATAAACATAGATCTAAGACAATCCCTTGGACTCTCATGTAAACACAAACAACTTCCAGATATGTAGCCACCCTCATTGCCTCTTTGTTCCCAAGACCCATGCAGGCTGTATCCAATGAAATGTCTCACCATCACCATTTTAACTTGTCCAACACAACTTCTCTTTTCCAACCAAAACATTTTTCTTACAGTGTTTCTTATCTCAGTAAATGGTTACCACCATTTTCTACACAGTTGTCCAAACAAGACATTTTAGTAGTTTTCTTTTAAAGATTAAAAAAAAAATGTTTTTATTGATTTCTTAGAGAGAGAGGAAGGAAGAGAGAAACATTGATTGGATGCCTCCTGCACACCCCCTACTGGGGTTCGAGCCTGAAACCCCAGGCACATGCCCTGACCAGGTATTGAACTGGGACCTCTCAGTCCATGGGATGACAACTCAATCCACTGAGCCACACTGGCTGGGCATAGCCTGTTCTTATACCAATAGCCTACAATATCTTTTCCCTCGGAAACTGTTTTGCTTCCTTTAATATTTCTTGCTTTAGTAACTGTTCCCTTGGGTTTCAGTGCCTTTGTTTATTGAGTTTGGTTCCTCTCTTCTTTGTGTATCTGGGTTTCAAAAAATATGACAGTTCTTAGTGGATGGATATTTCATTCAAGATTACCTGCTTGCCTGCTCATTACTATCCTTTCTGCTTGCCTGCCCATTGCTATCCTTTCTGCTTGCCTTGGCCTGCCCCAGGAATGGTGGGGGAGGGGAGAGGAGAAGAATGTCAGTAACTCTTAGCACAGGGATTTCCTGTTTTTCCTGGTTGTGTGCTGCTATCTGAGTGCTTCCCTGACTGTCTTCCGAAGCCCACACTGTTCTAGCCTGTCAGGACATGACTCTGCTACCTGCTGCTTGTCACTGCGTGGTGTCAGAGACATCAGTCAGCCTGTCTAGTCCTCAGACATTTCCTTTTGCAACCTCTGGTTCTATAGGGCCCTAGTTTTACTTCATAATCCAGGCCATGCCTCCTCCATTTCTAACACCCCTGAGCTGGGAGCACACAGAGAGGTGTTCCCACTATTAGCCAATGCCATCTCCTGCATGTTTGGGGCTGTAGTTTCATCTGACAATCAAATCCAGCCTGCATTTATTCTTTTTTTGCCCCATGCTCTTAAAAACCTGTCTGTTTTTTGGTAGGGAGAAGCAGGCTTTTGTCTTGGGGCCACCAATTTGATCTATCATTCAATTCATGATCTTCATACATATTTTTATTCTTATTGATACTTTAAATCTAAAAAAAATCTGTTTCCCCTTGCTTTCTGATTTTTTACACAAATGCTGAGATACTGTATTTTTATTTTTTTAGCACAGTGGGACCCAAAAGTTTTTACAGCTTATGATGTATTCCGTTTAAGCCTAATCACATCCGAGCTTATCGTCCAGGAGGTAGAAACCCAACGGAATGGAATCAAGGCTGTCTTTGATCTGGAAGGCTGGCATTTTTCTCATGCTTTTCAAATGACCCCATCTGTAGCCAAGAAGATCGCTGCTGTCCTTACAGTAAGTGTATAGTTAACTTTTGGGATAACACTTCCAAACAAGGGATTTTAATTTAGTTGTATGTGATACCAAGAGAAGGGATAGTATATTTATTAGAAAATCAAATAAAATGTTAGAAATGGTACATAGATTTCAATAATGCTAAGAGAAAGTAAAGTAATTCATGAGAAAATGTTGCAACAAATTGTGAAAGTATGTTCAAGATTAGTAATCATAAAATGTATACATTTAAACAATAATGTGGTGACTTTATCTTTCTATCATTAGAATTCTCTTCCTAAATTAAAAAATTGAATGAAAATAATATTTATTGCAGTGATACAACAAAAAGTCACAAATTTTGGTAGGTATAAATCGAGACAGTTCTTTTAGAAATCAAGCTTTTTAAAATGGCCACGATTTTTGCCCCAGTAATCCTACTTTGGGGACTGTAGCCAAAGAATAATCTTAACTATAGTATGGACATTGTATATAGTAATAGTTTATTGTGTGCCAGGTACTTGGCTAAGTGTTTCAAATGAATTACCATTTGATGGCCATACAAACAAGCCTATGTCATATGACTAGTATTTTCCCCATTTTACAAATTGGCTCTGCCAGAGAGGTGACAACCATGCCCAAGCCCATGCATTTTGTCAGTAGGGAAGCAAAGGTTCCAGTCCAGATCACCTGAATTAAAAGTTGTGCTAACTACCATTATTGCCTCTTATAGATAAAGATAGGTGCTGTAACATCAATTCTTCTAGTACAGAATAAAATTAGAAACGACTTATTTGTCCAGAAATAAGAAAACGGTTACTTAAATTATGGTACATTCATCTGATGAATTATTGCAACATATTAAAAGTTATGATGTTTACAATAATTGTGTTACACCAGTATCAATGGGACAAAACAGGATACAAATGATTTAGAGGTCATATTAACAATTTTGTTTAAAATAAAGTTATGCATAGAAAGAACCTGGAAGGAAAAGCCCCAAATAGATAACATATCTCTGAAAGCTTTGCATGGGGGCAGAGGGGAGAGAATTTTGTGTGAGAGAACATTGGCAGGAAATATCTCTACACTAACAATACATCTTTGGGTAGAAAAACTATTGATGAGTTTTTTTTTTTTCAAGTCTTAACTTTTTAAATGTTCTGAATAAGCCTATATTGCTTTTATGTTAAAGACTTATACCAGTGTGAAAAGTTTAAAAGTGTGTGTTTATTATACTATTCTTTCAACTTTTATGAAAGTTTTATTTTTTTCTCAGAACAAATATTTGGGGGATAAGGTTAATTGTTAACATCTACATAACTCATTGGTTCTTAAAAGAACATTTATATATGATTGGGGGAGCCATTCTTTGTCCTTTATTTATGAAAGATGCAGGTATTTCTTAAAATATTTTGCCTAACTTACAAATAAATACTTTTTATGAATCTTTTTTAATTTAGTGACAGTGTACTATAAAGAAGGCTACGTTGTATTGCTGGAATAAATATTTTTGAAAATGAAAGTATTTTCATTAGTTGCTGCTGTAAGTTCAGCAAGAGTTCAAAGAAGGGGCTTGTCAATAGAAATATATATTTATTCATGTTTTGTTATTAATAAGATTTTTACTTTATTTTCAAAAGGATTCCTTTCCATTAAAAGTTCGTGGTATCCATTTGATAAATGAGCCAATAATTTTTCATGCTGTCTTTTCTATGATTAAACCATTCCTGACTGAAAAAATTAAGAAACGGGTGAGTGAAATATATTCAAGTCACTATTTCTCTCTACCAAATATTCCAATCCTTTCTCATTTAAGAACTGCTTTATTAAACACCCCCCACCACTGAACCAATATTTTGAGTATTTATCTAACAAGCCAACTATTATAAATTAAAATTTCTTTTTAATTTTGAAAAATCAATTTAGTGAGTCTATAGAGTAACTGGGCCTCTGGCACAGTGCTGGTAGATGTGCAATATAGTATCTTCCCTATAGAGGGCAGTGTGGTAATAGTTATCAAAATGCCAGCCTTTGTGCTTCTGGCAATGTAGCCCATCCGCACATGAACAAAATTGCATATACAAGAGGATTCATTGCAGCAAAAGTTTGTAAACCACCAAATGTTCATCATCAGGGGACTGGTTAAATGAACTTTGAGACATTGACACAATGGAATACAACAAGATTTGCAGGATATATTGTAAAATGAAATAAGCAAAATGCAGAAGAGCATTTCTGGTATGCTACCTTTTATGTAAAAAGGGAAGAAATCAGAATCTATAGTTATGTTTACATTAAAATTACATGAAAAGGATTAACAAGAAAGCAACCTAAGTGCTTATCTATATGGAATAGAGGTGTGGATGGGGTGGATGAGGATAAGGTTGGGACCTAGACACCTCATTGTATGCCTTTTATCTTGTTTTGATTTCTAGCCATGTGAATATATTATCTATGCCAATAAAAATCAATATTTAGCCCTGGCCAGTTTGGCTCAGCGGTTAAAGCGTCGACCTGCGGTCCGGAGAGACCCGGGTTCGGTTCCCGCTAAGGGCACGTACTTCGGTTGCAGTTTGTCCCCGGCCCTGGTTGGTCGTGCGGGTGGCAGCCACTCGACGTGTCGCTCGATGTGTCCCTTCACGTCAATGTTTCTCTCTCTCTCTCCCTTCCTCTCTCTCCCTCCCACTCTATCTGTACAAAAAATGGAAAAATATCCTCAGGTGAGGATAAAAAAAAATAAAAATAAAAATAAATCAATATTTAAAAAACATTTTTTCTTTATTGATTTTTTTAGAGAGAGAGGAAGGGAGAGGGAAAGAGAAATAGAAACATCGATGAGAGAGAACATCGATTGGCCACCTCCTGCATGCCCCCCACTGGGGACTGGGCACACAACCTGGGCATGTGCTCTGACTGGGAATCGAATTGGTGACCTGTTGGTACATGGGTCAATGCTCAAGCACCGGGCCACACTGGCCAGGCAAAAAGCACTATTTTTAATATATATATATATATATACTTTATATATATACTTTATATATATATTTTAATATATATATATATATTTGTAATAGAAAAACCAAAGTACCTGAGGTATGTGACTTTATATCATGTTAGTTAAAGAAAGGAGATTTTAATATTATTTTTTTACCTATCCTGTTGAGCTTTATCTCTGGTGACTATCTAATATCTCTTAGGATATTCATTAATCTGCAAAGGAAAATTTTTAAAGCATTTATTTAGATAAACATTAACAATATCTAATGCCTGAAAGAAAATCAGTTTTTAAAAAAAAATTATTTTAGCGAGAGGAAGGGAGAAAGAGAGAGAGAGAGAGAGAAAGACATCAGTTGCCTCCAACCGTGCCCCAAAACCTAGGTATGTGCCCTGACCAGAATCAAATCTGCCTCCTTCTGGTGCCCGGGAGGACACTCAACCAACTGAGCCACACTGGCCAGGGTGAAAAATAGTTTTAAAAGCTTTGACAATTTAAACCTCATTAAAGCTCTAACATTGTTTAAATATAAATAGTGACCATGTGAGTTATATTAGCTTATTGGAATTTTAGAAAGTATAGTCTTTCATGTTAAAATGTAACATCTTGCATCTGTTTAGAAAATTGTGACCCTAGAACTTCTTTACAGGTTACCCAGTAGGTGTTTCTATCTGTCTTCAGGAAGACCCATGCCTCTGAACACGACCCCCTTTTATTCTAGTATTTTCATAAAAGTTAATTTGTTTGTTTATTTATTTATTTATTCTTTTATCTCTTTGGTGTAGTTTGATAAAAGCTGGGCACCCTCTGTTTAACTCTGAAAGATCTAAAAACAAGTATTTCTGTTTTTGGTTATATTCTGGACAAAGGAAAACAATAGCAATAATAAACTGAACCCCCAAAATAGGAGAATATGAGCAGAAAAGAAAGAAAAATAAAAAATTAAGAAGTTAGGCAAAGCATTTCAGTGAATCAATTGATATGAAACAGACTTGCCAAAATGGTGGGGGTGGGGAATATCCCAGTCCAGCCACTTTTCCTCCTTTTCAATATTTTGGCAATACCCTATGGATGCTCTCACCCCCCCTCCCCCAAGGAGATAGTAGACTTTCTTCTCTATTAGCTGATAATATTTTTAACATTTCAGGAAAAAATCAAGGGTTGAGTGCAGGAAACTTGTATCATTGATTTACACAGAGTAGGTACTTATTAAATGATTACTGGATATATACATGAACATTTTTCCCTAGCAGATGGAGAAAGTTTTTTATTTTTTACTTTTTTTTTTTTTTTTCTAAAATGATATGCTTTTAATTCAAGGTTCCACATCCTTAACTTCAGGACATTATATGATCAATTATTATAGTTTAAAATAGTTGAAATTTTAACCATTGTAATTGTCTCTTAATTTTGTGCTAGCCAAGAGTATCCATCAAATGTACCACATAAATTATTCCCCATATATCTAATTTTGTGCTTAAATATATGCTTTCATTTTATATGAAATAATACCACTCAGGACATTTTTACCATCTACAGAATAGTCCAAGGATATTTGATATTTTGCTAAGAATCACTTGTACATCAAGAAATGAAAATTATAAAATACCTTGATTTAGAGTATTAAAGATCTACTTGTGAAAGAGGAAAACAATCTTTTTTAAGAAATCTTATCTAGTTATAAGAATGCAATTATAAGAAAACAGTAAGATCAAATTCATAAATAGCACAATCTAAAGAAGTAAAATTCTTAGATTCATAAGAAGAGGAATAAAGGATGTGATATCTATACATACTCTCGTATCTTGGAATTTATTAGAGTACCTTATTTTATGGTGTTGATTTACCATTGAATATTCTTCTTATGTATCGAGAGGCAGAAGACGAACCTTCTAAAAACATTTTGGCTATTTCAGATTCATTTGCATGGGACCAATTACAAACAAAGCTTACATCAACATTTCCCAGACATTCTTCCTCTGGAATACGGTGGTGAAGAATTCTCCATGGAGGACATTTGTCAAGAGTGGACAAATTTTGTAATAAAGTCTGAAGATTACCTCAGCAGTATTTCACAGATCATTCAATGAGAAGATATTATTTAATGTCAATGCCTTCCTAATGAAAAATACATGAATGAGATCCTACCCGGTTACATGAATGAAAGAAAAAAAAGTCTTTTTAACAAATTAATGCTCTCATTGATCTTTTGTAAACATCTTCTGACATAAGCAACATGAGTATTTAGGAAACTACTTTTTAAATGCATTTTTGTTCCCTTTTTTTTATCCTCACTAGAGGACACCTTTCTATTTTTTTGTTCAGAGAGGAAGGGAGAGAAAGGAAGAGAGAGAGAGAGAAACATCGACGTGAAAAGGCACATCGAGTGGCCACCACCTGCACGACCAACTGGGGCCGGGACAAACTGCAATCGAGGTACGCGCTCCTAATGGGAACCGAACCTGGGTCTCTCTGGACCGCAGGCCGACGCTTTAACCGCTGAGCCAAATCGGCCAGGGCCATTTTTGTTACCTTTTAAGTAATTAAATGTTAATGTACTTAAAAGCATAGAAGAGATTTTCTGATTTTTACTCTTGAAAGTTATCTCTAAAGTAGCTATTCATTTGTGCCTATGTATGTTTCTGAAAGTTTCATTTTAAACATGTTCTCTGAGTACATTGGTTTGGAATAAAATGTATAAATAGTCCACTGAAAGAATTATTAGCACAAATCAACTGATGATGAAAATCTATTAACACTCATTGTGGGTGGGTATCAGATGAGATTATAATTCAGATTAAAATCTGAATATAGTTTTATTACATTTACTTTTCTGTGAATCAGCAAGATAGTTCATCTCAGGAAAATTTTATTTCAGCATATTTGCACAATAGAAACTTTTGATTGAAGAGTCTATGTCATGAATTATTGTATGTAGCTTCTATAGGCCTCTATGAAATGACATGTTGATACAATTGATAACCAAAAATAATTTTGAAAATATTTCAGGCAGAATTAATGGCTTCTTAATACTGTGTCTGCATTTTTGCACAAATTAAGAATGTAATTTTGACTTCCGTTTGTGATTTATGATTGCATACATACTTAGAGGTATAATAATATTTAGTTGTTGTATACATGTACTCTTTTTTTTTAATCCTCACAGGAGGATATTTTCCGTTGATTTTCAGATAGAGTGGAAGGGAAAGGGAGAGAGAGAGAGAAATTGATGTGAGAGAGACACATTGATTGGTTGCCTCCTGAACAACCCCTACTAGGGCCGGGATCGAACCGAACACACATACGTGCCCTTGACCAGAATCAAATCAAACCCACGATTCTTTGGTCTGATGGCCAACTCTAACTGCTGAGCCAAACCGGCCAGGGCACATGCACTGCTTTTAATGGAACAATAACACGACTTCAAAAGGAAAAGGATATGTTTACGTTTTTAAAATTACTAATACATCTGGAACTTTTCAGGTTATGCATGAAATAACTTTAATTTTATTATTATATCAGAATACTCTAGCCAAACCCTACAATTCATATTTACTTAAAAAAAAAAAAAAATCAGTAACTAAAATGTGCTGTTTGGCCCAGCTGGTGTGGCCCAGTGGTTGAGTGTTGACCCACCAAGAGGTTGCTGGTTCCATTCCCAGTCAGGACACATGCCTGGGTTTTGGGCTCGATCCCCAGTAGGGGGTGTGCAGGAGGCAGCTGATCGATGTTTCTCATTGATGTTTCTATTCTTCCTCTCTATTCCTCTCTTTCTAAAAATCAATAAAAAATATATTTAAAAAATGTGCTGTTTGTACTGTAGCTTATGATAATATTTCATTTATTGAGAATTACATAAAGGTATGGCTTTCAATTGATGACTGTGTTTATAGTGTTTTATAATTTTTAAGTCTGATTTTAAACTAAAAAATTAACATGGTGTGCAAAATTTGTTAGACATTTGTTCAGCTAAGCTGGGTTTCAACATAAATCATACAATGGTATCTTTGTGAAAGAGTATGTAAAGAGTGTTTTTCTTTATAAGAAAATTATTCTGATCAGGTGAGCTGATATTTATGAATCTCTGTACATGTATCTATGATAAAATTGAGAACTGTGAATGTTCTTTAGAGAACATGTTTTATTTTGATTTAGCACTGGGAAGCTAATTTTACATTATAATTTTTATTAAAAAATTAGATGGTGCCTGTTTTCTAAAAAAAGTTAGTCTTCTTTACTAATTATACAATTAAAATTGCATAATTAAAAATAACAATGTAAAGCCATTTAAAAGGAGTAAACAGTAACAATAAAAAGCTCTGGTTTATCCAACATTTATTCCTAGAAGGAGGTTTACATAACATTTCTTTTTATTTGCACTTGGATGCTTAAAACACTTCCGCGTAGCTCTTGGAAGGAATGATTATGTTAGTACATGAATAATGGATGATAATTTTAAAATGTCTTTTAAATGTGATTCATTAGTGATGTTATTAACAGCAAACAGGAATACAGTAAGTCAGTCAATAGGAAGACATTTCGTGATGGGACTTTGAAATTGTTATAAAATGCAGCAATTCACTAAAGAACATTAGGTGAACAGTGTGAAATGAGCAGGCAATTTTACAAGATGTCAAGATAAATAGCTATCCAACTGTCTATAGTACTTAACTGTAATTGCACCAGAAATGCCTTTAAAAGATATCTCTAACATGGAATTATTGTTCCTGAACTGCACAATAATTTGTTTCAATATTGTTCAAAAGAAAATAAAGATCTTTCGCATAAACTATAGCTGTTTCTTTTTCATTTAAAAATCCGAATATTAGGCATTCTTTTTCAAAACCCACTTTTCCTTACAGAAGGGTTTAAGAAAAGCTTACCATAACTAGCTGTTCATTACGCAATGCCAGTTTTTTCTTTATTAGGTTTCATTGCAGGCTGATTTCCCCGACTGCTCAGTTCAACATCATCTTCTGCTCACGCTTTTTGCTGTGCTCAAAGGGACCACAAACTAATTTGATAAAACTAAGCCATGCTTACTAAGTTAAACCTTCTGAGTGAAAAAAAGCCAGAGTGTGCCACTTAATCAGATAATTTGATTTTAAAACAATTTTCTGTTAGCCTAGATTATGATTTTTCTCTGTCAAAGTATATATTTTTATGACATTGACTAGCACTGACGTCCTAGAGCAAATATTACCTTTGTTGCTCACCTAAAATAAGCCACAAAAGAGGTCAAACATCAAAGAAAACCCAAACTCAGGAAACTAGTAAGATGGTGTTGTCTGAAACACTCCTTACTGACTTTGTACGTTGAACTCTGCCAGATTTTGACGCTCTGGAGGAAGTATGAGTTTCAAAGACGGGACTGGAAATGATGGCAATACAGTGAGGGCCGGCGGTGCTCATGCCCGCCGCTTTCTGGTTAGCAAGAACGCAGACCACCCTCTCCCAGACCAACACTGAGCTCTAGCCAAGTCAATCATATTCGTCTGACTTCTTAAATATCTACTTTTGATAACACTGTACGTGGAATGAAGTACTATAGTGACTAGGAAAATTAGCCAGATGTTGCTTGGAAGAAAGAAAACTATCTTTAATGTTGAAAATATATTTATGCTGTAATAAAGAATAAGAATCGTTTATTTGAGCAAAGGTGGGCTTGCAACCTGAGACACAGACTGAGGTGGCACCGAACTGCTGGTCCAGGGAGGACACAGAAAAGCAGGGAGGGCTTGGCTTCGAAAAGCTTGGGCTGCACCGCCGTGCTCTTTACGTAAGGGAAGGAAGGATTCGGCTTACTCCCGTACACAAATGAAGGATGCTGGTTGGCAAAACATGTTGACACCTTTCAAAGTAAGAAACACAGATGGTCTGGTTATCATAGTGAGGAGATAAGGTCAGGGCGCAGCTGAGGAGTGCAAAGTTCATGGAGAAACATGCTGGTTGGAGCACAAGACAAACTTCTTCCTGGCTTCTTGCCTCCATGTTAGTTTCCTGGACATAAATGACTCCACCTTGGCAATGTCCAATCACAATATCCAAAACAGCCAGGTAAAATGCAGTACAGTGTGAGGGTCGTTCGAATGGTTCCAGTGAGGTGCTTTGGGAGTGTAGCAGAAGGAAAGACCATTCCCACCTGGGGAGGAGGAGGGGGTGTCCTCAGTAGAGGTACGATTGGAAGCAGAGCCTTTAAGGAGAACTGGCTTCCCCAGAGAGCAATGAGAACCGAGGAGAGGAAGGACAGTCCAAGAATGGAAATAGCACGGGCAAAGGTTTAGAGGTGAGAAAGCAGAGTCGTGTCCCAGCACCAGTGAAGAGTCTTTTATCTTTGGAGAGAAGGGATGGGTACAGGAGAGTGGCCTGTTGCCTAGAAAGCTCCATGTGAAACAAGACACAGGAGGCCCTGAACACTAGCTGACAGGCACTCTAATGTGTAGATTACTTGTTTTCTTTCTGCCAGACACTGTATTAAATTCACACACATTGTTATTCAATCTTTACCGAGAGAAAGAGAACAAACTGAACTCAGGAAGTGTCCGTTCCTTGCTCAGAATCACAGAGCTAGTAAATGCCAGGGTCAGACTGAACTCGGATGGCCAGGCTGGAAAGTCCACAGGCCCTATGACCCCAACACCACCATGCTCCTAATCGATCCGGTTCCACAGGCCATGGCGATCAATGGCCATCAGATTCTATCAGTCCTACTTGGAAAGGTCTGATCCTGACCCATTTCTAAGGCTCATCATCTCTCATCCGACCTGCTGCGGTAGCCTCCTCTAGGACTCCCCCCTTCTCCTTGTTCCTGTCTGTACTTCCCTCTCCCCCTGCTGCCCAAGTTGCCCACCCCAAAAATTTTACTCCTGGAACTCGCCCTGCATTCAAGGTAAATTGCTAATTGTCACCCGAGGCACTTCACAACCAGGCCCAACCTGTTTTCCACTCTCACGTTGCAGGACTTCTAGCCCCACCTACACGCTAAGCACCTTCGAAAACCATCGCCCCTTCCACACAAGACTCCTCAGAACCAGTAGCAAGGAGGGGTGAGGAGGAGACGTGAGGTGTGTGAATTCTGTACGCTGAACCTTTGCGCCTCCGGTTTTCTCTGCTCCCGGCCCTTTGCTGCTTGCTCTGTTCATCTGCAAAGTCCCATCACGAGCCA